AACAGATGGTGTACCTGGTGGGTTCGATGATGAACACGGACGTCAAGACCAAGAAGAAGCTCATCAAGAGCTCCAGCAACACTGCACTCATCCTGTGGACGGAGGTAATCTATCGATCTCACCTTTCCAACGCAACGCGATACGAGACACGAGACACATGCGCAGCACGCAGCACGCCGCACACGACACGCATACAACACACTTCGACTGGATTGTAATTGTGTGGCGTGCGTGTGTGGCGTGTTTAGGAGGAGATCGACCTGGTGATGTGGTACGATTGGGTGTTCGCCATCTGCCCGATCGTGATCGCCGTGCGGCCGCTGCCCTCGGGCCTGTTCTACACCTGTACATTGAACAAGAACGCCGAGGCACGCCCCCCCTCTCACCACTGTTACTCTTGATGATCACTACCACATGCCACGACATTTCCATGACTTGTCGATGAAATCTACCTGGTCTGACCATGACATGTGGCGCATGGCGGGTGCAGGTGATCCACGTGGGTCCGCTGCAGGAGGAAGGGGTGGTGGGCATGAACGAGCTGGGCGTGCTCGTGCGCGAGACCGCCCTCTCGGCCTACAAGGGCCTCAAGCGCTCTCTCGCCGACTACTCCCATCCGTACGCCTCCTCTCTCCGCCCCGCACTCTCTCTTGGCTCACACTAACCGGCCAACCGCACACACGCACCATCGCACACGCACACGCACACGACAGGTACACGGTGCGAGCGGGGATGATTAACGACATCGGCGCCAAGTTCGCGATGCCCAATCTCACGCCGCAGCAGTACTTCAACTCCCTCTTCTCCCACCTCCCCTCCGACAAGCTCTTCCCCTACTCCCCCTCCTCGCCTCCGGTACGCCCACGCCCCGCCCGCCCCTCGCAATCGTCCCCCCCCCGCGTTGGGCTTACCCCTTTCCCTCTGTCGTTTTTTTAATTAATTAATTATTAATTTTTATTTTTTAAAAAGGCTGCGGTGCCGGAGGCTGCGCGCCGGAAGCCGAGGCCGCGCGCGTCGCTGGTGCCGGAGACGGCCGAGTACCGCCTCCCTTCCCCGCCGCCCTCCTATCGGTGCGTACCCCCTCGTCGCACACACGCACCACCGCACACGCACACGCACACGCTTACGCACGACTCACGACACGACACACATACAGAGCGATGGAGGTCTCGCCGCGAGTCAGTGTCGAGAGCTCGGATTCATCGGTGGGTGGCTCGCGGCGGACCAGCGAGGACAAGGGCTCGCCCCGCAAGCGGAGGTCGTCGGCCGGCCTGGCCACCTCGACCTCATCCTCGGAGACCGTGCCCATCGCCATGTCGGCCTCGGCACCCTTTCAGTCCATGCCCTCCCTCTCCTCCTTCACCTCGCCCGGCGACAGCGGCGCGACCGGCTCCAGCCCATCGTCGCACAGCTCGCCCTCGCTCGGCTCCAACAGCGTCTCCATCCGACCCAAGGACGTACAGTTCGAGAAACACGGTACGCACCCCCCCCCGGTGGGCGCGTCGGAGTTAAAATCTCACCGCTCTCGTCGCTATGGCCACCGCCAGCAGCCATGCCCTTGCCGACCCGCCAGGCTCCCGTTCCGTCATCCAAGTCCGGCGGCGACGTACGTCCTCATCACTCATGAGCTGACGTGTGCGGTGGGCGTGTGCGGTGTGTGCGGTTGGCGTGTGCGGTGGATCGAATGACACACAATTAATTGTTGGTGCAAACTGCCGCAGGCAAAGAGCGGCGCGGTGGCGGCGCTGAAGAAGAACGAGGCGAGCGGCGGGCGGAGCTCCCTGCCGGCGGTGGCCGTCTCCGAACCGCCGCCGCGCCCGCTGGCCTCCTCCGTCTCCTCGGGCCCCGCCGCCACCGCCGGCAGCGGCTCGCGCCAGGTCTCGAGCGAACCACCGTTCGATCGCATACCGACCACCCCCGGCGCCGACGACCCGCTGGTCGAGCGCAAGGCCAGCAAAGAGAAGAAGTCCAAGAAGGACGCCACCGCCGTCAAGAAGAACAAGAAGCACAAGTCCGACGGCGGCGTAAGCATCGGCGGCAGCAGCGAAGACACGGCCACGGCGACCATGCCGGCGGCGGGGAGCGGCAGCGTCAGCTGCGACAATCTGGCGGCGGTGACCGAGGGCGAGAGCAGCAAGAAGCGCGAGCGGCGGGAGAAGCGCGCGTCGCGCAAGAGCCTGAGCCACGAGATCACCCACGCCATCATCACCCACGCCAACGCCGGCGCCAGCGAACCGACCACGCCGTCGTTGGCGACGTCGTCGTCGCCGTCGCTGCCGTCGCCGCCGCGGGAGGACAAGGGCGCCAAGGTGGTGGCCCAGCGCACGGTGGTCCAGCCCTTCGTCCCGCCCGCCGGCGCCGCCGGTCTCCCGGAACCCACGCGCCAAGCCCCCGAGCGGCCCACGCTACCATGACCCGCGTAACGCACACAAGGCCAACGCGAGGTGGTCGTTGTGTTGTGTGATGTGCGCGTTGTCGCCCTGCGTGTTGTTGCGCCCCCGCCTTTGTTGTAATGGTCTCCCACTTATTTATTGCCAACACTGTTTTTACCCTTTCTACATGTTGCCTGTGCACAGCGAGTGTGCACTGTTGCAACCGCTCAAGAAAGCCGGGTTGATACCGCCGGGAGGTGCCAAGGAGCTCGGTTGTCAGGCAATGTTGACCATGCGGAGCCATTTTATAGTTGGGTCAACTTAACCAGAACCGTTCTGGTTCACACAACCTAAAAGCGGAATTCAAACGGTCAACTGCGAGGCTGTGATACGCTCGTCCACGCAGATGCCTCGCGCGTTCTCGCACTGACACGGTTCTGCCGGCCAACTGGGAAGCTGGTTGCCCTGCGCTAAATCAGAAGTTGTTGAAGGGCCAGAAATGACGATCACACTGAGGTGTACCGCACTTCGACTTTCACCGAACTTTGGCTACGTTTAAAAGGCTGTGCTTCGTTGCTTCCCCTATCTTCATTCCCTCATACATACATCAACCACACAACCAACACTCTACTGTCTATCACCACTGATCTCACACCACAACTCGCCGCACTGCCCAGTTTCAGTACTCGCTCCTATAACTCAACCACGAAAGAACGAAGATACAAGTAGAACGAAGAGCGAAGAGCGAAGAAAGAGCGAAGAGCGAAGAAAGAGCGACAGCGATGGCAGCGTGGCAGCAGGAGTTGTGGAGGAGGCAGCGGGCTCACCTGGCCGCTCACGAGGAGGACGCGACGACGCTCTTCGTGCGGGCGCCGCTCACGGCCGTAGCCCAGCACCACAGCCACGGCGTGGCCACCACTACCACTACGCAAGCGGCCAAGCGTCTCCGTTCGCCGCGCTACAACAGCGGCCCGGCCAGTAACAAGCTGCGGCGGAGCGACCAGGACGACCACATCAGCGCCGCCACCAAGAACGACAACAAGAAGAAGGAGAAGAAGGAAAAGAAGAACGAGAAGGGCAAGGAGAAGCTCCATCAAGTGGTGGTTGTGGACGAAGTAGAGGAAGCTATTGTCGACGAAAACGAGACCACCACTTCTACGCGAAGCAAGAAGAAGCGATCGTCGTCGTTCAAGCGGGCGGTAGAGAAGATCAAGCACATGACGACCAGTCGACACGAAGAGGAGGAAGAAGAGTCAGAGGCGGAAGAGACGAGGAGAGGAC